GATGATTTTCGTTGCATTTTTGCATGAAGATTAATTGCAATACTTTACCAGTTAAGAAGATTAATTGAAAAAAGACCCATCTAAAAGTTTTCTTTTAATTAATGTTTTTAATTTATTTTCGATGCATCGGAATGAATAGAAAGTAATGCCAATTCGAAAGCATCTTAACAAAAAGCTTGCAGTTTCACTTTCATGCGTAAATAATTTTAAATCCAGATATTTCACTACATTACAATCAAAGCAAAGCCAAGTAAAAATTATAATAATATATCACTTAGAGGGAGTTCTCCTGAGACTTCTCATATTCATTCTAGAACAAATAATATTAATAATTTACAGTTCTAAGAGAAAGGCAAAAGTTAATAGAATGATGTCAGAGAGAGAGAGAGAGAGAGAATTCAATACATCTCAACAATTGAGAATAGATATAAACTTCCACATTAATATTTTTATTTGTTTGAAGATCTAATTTATTATTGAAAGATCACATTTCTGACATTTGTTTTGCAAGATGAACCTACGCCATCCCCGTCGCCGAGCAGTTGCATCACTATTGGCTTCATTTCAATGATCGTTGTACTTACGTCGTTTAAAGGGAGACCATATGAGTACATCCAGAGTTGCCTTATGCAAATTTTACAAAAATACAGCTAAGTATTTGAGAGATAAGTATACATTTGAGATTTCTAGAGGGTGGTGGTGGGTTAATTTAAATTATATCTTCTGCTTCATTCAGGCAATAAAGGCACACGCATATACATGTATCTGCACATACATGTACATGCATAGTACTGCAAATATAATCGAGCACCAAACATGTAGACAAATGATTCTATAGTGGTAACTGTCATAATTGCATTTTTTGCATCAATATTTATTTAATTAGATACATTGCAATGCTTTACATGGGAAGAAATTCTTTTTGGTCTAGCTTTTGAATGATCTCAGAAGATGTTCAATTCACGCTCTTCTAACGTTAGCGTCTGAAACCTCTTAACGAGGTTCGTTCCTGAGCTTTTGGGCAGATTTTTGTGTAGACCTCTATCTAAAAATTCTGTTTAATGTTTTAGTTCTTATTATAAATTTGGATTCTGCAATGCTAATTTAACTATATTCAATTAAAACCCCATGATTAAATTCCATACTGAAAGCATTAAGTTAGGAACTATATTTTGTGGCTGAGGGTTTTATAGAAGAAAATGATCAATTATTCTCATTCGAAATATTTACAGTATTGTAATGTTTGAATTCCTATTTTTACATGCAGCTGCCTGCACACAAAGTTATACTGAGCAGTGAAATGTTTTATGCTGGTCCTAAATAATATTTAAGAAATGAATTTCATTTTTGAAGATTCATGAGGACATGAACTACGAAGCTTCACGCCGGCATATTTCATGAAGCGCGTTAGCGCTTCATAATAAATATGCCGGCGTGAAGCGTTGTAGTTCATGTACCTCATGAATTTTCAAAAATGAAATTCATTTCTTATATTTACATTATTGTTTTGATGAGTTTCCACAAGTTACACCATTCAACTGTCATTTTGAAACAAAACCGTTTGCACTATAGTTTTGACGTCAAGTACGGTATTATGACGTAACAATAGAGATATTCATGCTCATCTCATGGTAGTTCATGAGAAAATGAACAATCTTTTAATTTGCAAAGAATCTTAAGGAAAAATACTTGGAAATGTAAATATATTAAATTAACCGTCATGAATTCTGTCATTATATTGGACAAATATAAGAATATATTGTGAAAGTCCTGGGGAAAAAATAGCCCATTTTAGGCTAAAAATTAGCACTATTTTAGTTATATCTAAAAGTTAACATTACAGACCCCCACTTTTAATTTTATTTTCTGAATAAACAAGAACATTAACTATTCTGCTTGAACTCAGAAAAATGTCATTACTTTCAAATGATTTTATTGCTTGTTAAATTTTAATGCCAGAAAAATGACATTTTTTGAGGCAAAAAGGTCAAATAATTGACTATGCGAATATTTTGAATTTTTTTTTTTTGTTGTCACAAATTTTAAAGAGACTATCCAAGATGAAAAAAAGACTGTATGTGTTCCCATAATTTATTTGAATAAAAAATATGAGGGAAAACTTTGAAAAATTGATTTGTGTGTTAGACGTAAATACAGTGCAAAAAGGTCATATTAAATGCTCCGTAGCGCCGAAAGAACCGCATTGACCCCCATTTTTGGTTTTGATTTCTAATTAAGCTATGTGTCTACATTCCAAAAATATACTTGATAAAAAATTCTCAATACTTTTGATAACAGGATCCAACCTCCATCAAGAAGAGTCGTAGAAACATGAAAGCAAATATGTAAAGGAACTCCTGACATGTCCTCATGAAAGTTTATCAAAGTAATGATGTAAGATCAATGTAAACTTTAAGAAATAGTTAAAGACATTGATAAAAACATAGGACCATCACATTTGATATACTTTGACCTTGCGGTAAAAGAAACATTCAACTTTTTTTCAACGGTTAGTTGATATATACATGTACATGTATCCACCAACTTACCTTACTTTCTTTCAAAATAACCCCCTCCCTCCACCCCAACCCTTCTCAGTACAATTGCGACGTAGAATATATTTCTAAATTTCAAACCAGAACTCGGATCGACATAAACTTTTAGGGTACTGTCGTCAAAACCTTAAAAAATTTCTGCTACGCTTGAATATATTTAGAAATTATAACCTTTAATTTAACATCAAGAACAGTAAGATTGTAGCCGTTAAAATTTTCAAACAGATAGGAAGATAAAAGAAAATGAAGCTTTTACACTGTACATTTACAATGAATTTCTTCGGATGTCATTTATGACATTCATTTCCTTTAATATGATCCATTATTTTGTTGAGATGCATTCTTCTTTTTCGCATGTGAAATTTATTTCAATTTTATTTAGAATCAATTGATCTTTAAAAAAATGCGATTTTCGTTTCAATTAAGACAAAAACATGTTTCTAAATCTAAAGAATCCATCTATAGACTGCAAGCCTTGATATGACACAGTAGTTCAACCTTTCCTGCATATTTCACTTTTCCCTTGATAATATAAACAAGGCCTCTTTACACCCTTCCTATGACGCATTTAATTAAAGGCAAAATTTTCCAATAATATGAATTATAACTTTTTCCCTAAACCCTATTCATTCCTTTTATGCCCTAAAACCAATCCATTCCACACGGTATACATCCCCAGAGTTTTTTTTTTTTTAAGGGAAAAACAATTTTTAGACTGGCACTACTTGCGTCAATGAAATAGGGGTAATATTAGTAAGTAAAATATTGTAAAATTAGTAACCTATGATATACTTTGCTTTCTAGAATCAAATTTAGGATCGCAGTTTCCAACATAAAAAGTCTGTCCAGCTGTAGTCAGCCGACCCAATCGTGGACATTCAAACTATAAATGTTTCGAACACTTGATTCATGCAGATCACATGCCAAGTACGCCCATCTTCATTTGTGGGTGCTTTTACGTTGATAACGTGTGGGTTTCTTTAATTGCTTTGAAAATAATTAATGTTCCTATGATACCTTAACAATCATTTTAAATGACCCCTTGGAAAATGATAACAAAACCAGCAATAGTTACGTTGTACGATTTTCTTTAAATTAATATCTAATGAAACGGCAGAGTCACGAGGTGGAAAAACCAAATTATAAAATATGTCGAGAACAACAATCAATTATCGTTATTAACACCATTCCTCCACTCAAAGAAATGCTTCATTATAGCATAATATATCCCCCTACTTAATTTACATTTTAGAAGCCTATGTTTTCTGAGTTCGAAAGGTACATGTATAGATACCCATAAGACATTGGACTTAACCCCTGATAAGTGTTATCCAAGCTAGTTTAAGGAGGTGCTACCGTCTGCTTGCTAACATGGATATATGTTTCTGTAATTCAGTCATTTTTTAACAGATAGACTTTTTTTTTTAAAAAATCAAGCAAATACAGTATATCACACAAGACAAAGGTTTGTGGAAATTATTGCTGAGTATGAAAATTGTCCACAGGAAGTGGTTTATTAAATGAGAGACTTATATTTCTTTTTCAGAGCTGGGACCATCCCGCCTTAAGCCCGCTCATCCAAAATGAAGAAATATTGTATACTTCAGAGACCCGTATCAACGGTTTTAAATCGGGGGTCTCCCCAAAATATATGACAAGCCCAAAAAAAAAAAAGAATTTTCAAATTCAAAAATCCTATTTCTCGGGAGGGAGGAGGGGGGCTCTATCACCTTACTCAACTTTTTTTGGTACATTTCTTTTTCGTTTTCTTTTCTTTCTTTACAAATCCTGAAATTTGCCAGTCTTCGATCTTACATCAACAAAAGGTGGAGTCGGGGGGAAGGACAGCATCGAAATAAAAATTTACATATGAAAATCACAGCAAAATACAGTTGTTCTATACTCCAAAAAGAGGGGGCCAACCCCCCAACCACCCCTACCCGCGTTCTACGGCCCTGTGGTTATTTACAATTTTGATCTTTCTGTTTTGTTATATTCTTCGTGATGATGAAGATATGCAGTGGCAGTCTAAAATTAATCCTGCAACATGACACATTGATTATTTTCGCACAATTCATGATTTATTTTGTAATTAAAACGTCCAAATTCTCGTAATTAAATTTGCTATTATTATAATGGATTTCTCTCAATTAGTTATTTATTTACATGTAGATTGAAAATTGTTTGCACTTGAATACGATAATTAACGATTACTTCTTGTATTATACAAATTTAATAGCCATCTTTCAATTTATTTCCAAGTTTTTGTTCAGATTTCTTGGTCAAAAGGAATAGACTGACAAAAGTAAAAATATTGATTTTAGTCTATTCATCTTGATAATCTATATTAATTAGTCATGAATCTCTTATGTTTCATTCTTCTCGGTAATTACTTCATTTCAATTTTTTCCGTTGAAGGAGCAAGTAAACTTTAAAACCCATAAAATGCCAAGAATTCCAGAAACCATTTTCACATTCTTCATGTTAATTTGTGAAATAAATGCCGTTGGAATTTTGGTACAGAATAAAATTTTGGACGTTCCAGCCCTGGCTACGTATGAAATCATTGGCTTGAAAGGTTGTGCAAAACAATGCATAAGACGCAGTGGTCAGTGTCTTGCTTTTACTTATCAGAAGAAACACCTGCTTTGTAATCTCCTGGACACCACCTCCGCTATTGTTCCGGACAAACTGAAGGCAAAAGATGGATTTACTTACAGCGAAATAAACACCTGGTCGGAAGTAAGTTGGCACTTAATGGGGACCAAAAAAGTGTCTTTTTCTTTTCTTTCTCTTTTTTTATTCGTTGCATTGATAAGTACATGAGTACAAGAAATGCACGACTTTAAGGAATTTGATTTCCTTTGATTCATAAAAAAAATAGAATATAACATTAATTACATAATGCATCAAAACTGTCGTATGTTTCAACATTTTAAAAAAGCAGTTTTTGATTTAATTTGAAAGTTTGGGAGTCGCAGTTTTGAATATGGAAAGCGCACGAGGTCCTCCTGTTTTATACATGTATTATACATGTAGCCCATTAAAATTCAAATATTGTATGTGATCAAACATAGATGATGGACATTTCAATTTGAATTACTTTTGAAAACCATGACATAGACTATTTCGTGATTGTAGATCATCAACATTAATACTGTAAACCAACATTTATTCGCGTGCGAGAAATATTCGCGAGTTTCGCGAACTAATTTTACTCGCGAATATTAATCACCGCGAAACAATTGTTTTGCTTTGTTTTTGTAGAGAATGTTTCCTCATTTGCAAAAATTAATTGTCGCGGATTGATTTCAAACTGACGATTCGCGAATAAAAGATGACGCGAATAATAGTTGGTTTACAGTATGCATCAACCCTCTGATAAAACAGATAACTTTCCAAGTCAAAAATCTTATTATATATCATAGTTTGCTAGTATTTGACCATTGTTTCATACATGAGACCTTTGAGTGGTCAATTCGATCAAACCTGATATATGATGAAAATATCAAATTCTGTTTTCTTTTACTTTTCAAATTGTTTTATTATGTTTGACGAAAAAAAAATTAAATCCAGTTTTAAGACCCTTAAAAATTGAAAAATGCTTTAATGTATCAAGTACCAATTGTACAATTGTTATTTGTATTACATTTTTTTTTCATTGAAAAAAAAAATTCATAAGAAAGATAACTCTTGCTAATGGACGTAATTGCACCGGATAGAACGCTACATCCGGGGTGGCGTCGTCTGAGGGTCAATTTTGATGCAGAATTTTACGTCAAAAGTCGAAAACTTTGATACCCCAAAAAGTGAGAAGGAGTGTTTGAGAAAACGGAGCACTTTTATATGTCGTTTTTAACTTCTGAGGGTTGCCTGGTAGTTGCTCTCTATGTATGAAAAATTTTATGTTTACTCACCTTGTTGGTCTTTTCTCCCCTTCGGTGCTGCCACCCGATGTCACGCATAACCGCCACCCCGAATGTAGCGTTCTATCCGGTGAATATGAATTATAAGTATGATACTAAATATTATTTTCATATGTACAACTCATATTTTTAATTTTATTTTGTGATAATAATTCATTACTCTTCCTATTCTCTATGTTAAAATTTCTTCATATCATGGTCTGACATAAAAATCAGCAGCGCTTCATACCTCATACTATTTTTCATGAAAATCAATGTTGGGAAGTATATTATATAAATACTGCATGTAGTTGAGTGTAACATTGAAAATTTTCACCCCAAGAAAACCATTGTCAACCGAGGCGCAGCCGAGGTTGACAATGGTTTTCGAGGGGTGAAAATTTTCAATGTTACACTCAACTACATGCAGTATTTATTATATTATACTGAATGTTTTATACAAATACATATTACAGTGAACCTTGCGCGCATGAATTCTGCGCAGTCAATATTTTTTGGAATAACACCCGTCGTCAAGCAATGTTTACTGTTGCTACGCTGGTGGGCGTGGCTTCATTATTCAGCGGGTAATAGTGTTTTTTAACAAATGTTTCTCGACGAATCAGATTCAACTAATTTACATGAAAGTATAATATAAAAAATTGTGAAATTTAGAGCAGAGGGTCATTAGTCCTTTCAAAGTAGATTGCAAAAATGAATATCGATAAATGTTTAATCCCTAATTTCAACCCAGCTGTTTCTCAAAGAATTTGAATTTTTTTTTCTGCTTAAGTTTGATTTTTTGAAAATATATTTCTAGGATCTTGGAAAATGTAAAACAGTCAACTGTCCGGTTGGTAAAACGTGTTTAGAATTGTCATCTGGGAAAACATCCTGCCAGTTTGATCCGACAGGTAAGTCTTGGTTGTTTGATGTGGGTTTCGCTTAGAATTCCTTCCTCAAAAGATTGTCAGGAACAGGCCAACCTGCTAACAAAAAGTGAAGGGACAATCTGGGGGGGGGGGGTTGACCTCGACGAACTTAAACTTTAATTTGGTTTAAATTTTCTAAATCTGTGAACTGTTTGTTTAAAAAAATGTAACGAGCACAGATCACTGTTTCGTCATGTTTTTTTTTTTTTTTTTTTTTTTTTTTTTTTTTTTTTTTTTTGAAAGTATGGAAAGATGAAAAAATTTGAAAACACTGCTTCCTTCAGTCTTGAACGATATTTTCTGTATGTCGGTTTCATTATTTACAGCCTGTCCGATGGGAACATTCTTCAATGGTAGCGGCTGTCCACTTTGTCCAGAGGGAGAATACCAACCTTCCAGTGGTCAGCGGAACTGTTCCATTTGTCCAGAAGGAGAAGGACCCACATGGAAAATGTCTACAATCACTAGAACCATTTGCCAAGGTCAAGATATTTTAGTTCAACAGAGACAAAGGCTCTTGCGAAATTTTCTGATCGATCGAATCTGTTTAATTATTACTGTGCGTTGTGTGTCGTGTTCTGTGTACCGTCAATTAAAAAAACAACTCTATTTTATTTTTCCGGAACTACTAAGTATTGCGTCTTTTCAATCCAACCTTGCTAGAACGTAAGCTTGAGTAAAGTATAATTAATTACGAGGGAAATAAATCATTAGGACCTTTCACTTCAGAACAGCGAGTTATCATTAAGGACCATCTCTACGCTAATGAAAATATTTTCTGGAGATGGAGAAAATTAATGTAAATTTGTAATTATTGAGTTTAATATATACAATTATGTATTTCATTTTCAACATAGGATACCAGCCATATACTCCCAGGAAATTTGTTCAAAAATGATAAAGTATTTAAAGTATTGGTAAACAAAAATCACTGTTGCTTACTTAGATGGGGAAATACATGCAAATAAAGTATTCAATAAATCTACCGTTGCCATATAAAGAATGTTTGAATTTATTCCTAATCGAGTAATAACTGCAAATTTCAATTTACTTTATTTTAGACCTTAAGACATATCACTCTTATTGCATAAAAATACCAAAGAATCAGAACTCTTTAAATGGTTTGTAATGCAATGTATAAGAACCTCAAGTCAACATAAAAGTACATTGTATTTTCATGTACCGAAGATTGACGTCGCCCGCGTAGCGCAGTGGTTAGAGCGTCTGCTGTAGAGTCGCGATGTAAGGAGTTGATCCTTACGTCGCGGGTTCGAATCCCAGTGTGGGACATAGAGACCGGTCCTTCGGACGAGACCGTATAAACCGAGGTCCCGTGTGGCAGTAGGTGCTGGCACGAAAAAAGATCCCTCACTGCTCAATGGCCGTAAGTTCCGAGTATAGAACAAAATTTGCAGCTCTTCCACCGGCAAATGGTGGCATCTCCATATGAGTGAAAAATTCTCGAGAGGGACGTTAAACAACATACAAACAAACAAACCGAAGATTGACATTTGTGAAAAAAAGATCCAATGGGTGGGTGGGTGGGGGGGGGGGGGGGGTTATCAAGTGATTATATTCTTGTCCCTTGATAAAAACCATCAATGAGAAAAAGAACGTCTTAAAAATCTGATATCGTCGTCACACACTATTGAATGCTACTCCATTGAGCTCTGTAGAACCTAATAATACTTTCTGACAGTCTAAGATTAAATGAAATACAAATATAAAGCTACATTTCACTTTTTTCAGGTTGTTGGTATGGAATTGGAACGTACACAGAGGGAGATGACAGTAAGCTGATATCTACACATACTGTAGCTGACCGTGGAGGATGCTACTCACTCTGTAAAGCCGACCCTAACTGTCTGGCTGTTAAAAGCACCCAGTCCAATACCAAGTGTGCCCTTTTCTCTAGCAAGACATGGAAATATGGCTACGTCCTCGACTCTGTCGTCATTCTTGTCCGCGGCCATTGTAGACCTTAATATATAAACTGGAGTCTGAGAACAAGTGTTTACACTGTGTTTTTGTCCATTGTTTGATTTTTTCTTACTCAGACAGGAGATATTAAAGTAACTCTAAGTAAGAATGTACAATCAAACATTTCCAATACCATTTGTTATGACTCTGAATAATTATGTTTTCTTTACCGCATAGGTTCTACTTCCAGATAGAAAAAAGAATTTCTTTTTCATTTTTTTTTTCTAAGAGTACTTTTTGAGGTTTGTTATGGTGAATGTTAAATTGTTCGACTTTGGTTGTTTCAGTTTTTTTATCCACTGTTATTTTACAAATGTGAGTGAGTTATTTTCTTTGTTGTCATTGTTTTAATACATGATTTATTTCATTCCTTTTGTTGGGATTATTAACATAGTTTATCATTTCTTTGGAAATTGGAAGAGACTTTAATTCCAGGAAGATAATAGATAATTTTTTCTTGTCTAGATTCCATCTTGAGTATTTTAAAAAGACCCATTGAAAAACTCTAATTATTACATTTTCATCAGTGAAATTTACTAATTACTGTGATTTATTTATTGAATAAAAGTGATATTCTCTCACTGTGTGAAAGGATATCAAAGTAAGTAAAAAATAATTTCTGGTCTGTAATAAGATAGGGATAGTAATTAAATCATCTTGATGAAGACTAAAACTGCCAATTTCTTCCCAGATATGTTGCTAAAATCCGTGTTACAATGTTTTCAATCTCACAACTGCTAAGCTATGACGTCTCAACTGCTAAACTATGAATGTCACAGCCTATGATACTGTGTTAAGAAAAGACAGAGGAAAAGGGAAAATCAAAGAATATGTAATAAACAGAAAATTCAATGTTTTGTAGTTGGATATGAAATTTATTTCACTCGTGAGACAGAATTTTTTTTTATATTTTCACTCGTGCTTCGCACTTGTGAAAATATTAAAAAATCCTGTCCCACTCGTGAAATAAACTCCATATCCATTATCCAACTACAAAACATTGAATATCCCCTATTTCTTAAACACCTGTAAAGCTCAAATTGTAATAATTTGTCAATTGTTCTATCTCAATTTTTTAACTGAGACTGTCCAACACCTTTGTTCCTTTTGGGCAAGGTAGGATTATTTACCAGACCCAAATTATAGTTAAGTTATCTAAAGCAATTCATTGATTATCATATCTAAAGTCGCATAATATTATTCATAAATATGAAGAAAATAGAAACGTATCACTTCATGGCCGTAGGAACCGGGGGGGCACGGGGGGGGCCGTGCCACCCCCCCCCCCAATAATTTTGCCGATATATAGATTACTATAGGAAACATAGATACTATATGCTTGTGCCCCCTCAATAAAAATGCCTGATGACCTTTTTTTTTTTTTTTTTTTTTTTTTGCTTGTTTGAAAATTTTTGGTAGTGCCCCCTCAACTGTCAACTGAAAATGTATGGCTGTGCCCCCCCCCCCAAACTAAATTTGCTTCCTTCGGGCCTGTCACTTCTTACATTCATTAAAAGAATAACGTCAATTAAAAGTCTAGAAAGTTCCATTTCAATACGTTTATTATCCCCTCGCAACAAAGTTGGAAGAGATATAGTAACGTGCTTGTGCGTGTGTGTGTGTGTGTGGGGGGGGGGGGAGTTAAGTGAGTGAGCACATGCATGCGTAACGGAAGTTCGTCATAATATCGGGATCAATGTGCTCTTTTGCAAGGGGATGCTTCGCTTTGCTCTGTCCTCTTTATTTTTACGAGACAAATCAATGTTTAACATTATTTGTAACAGTAGGCTGGGGATAAGTTCTATCTGTGGCCCTGAAAAGGATACCATTACAACTGCTACAAAAGGAACATAGAAGAACCATATTGTGAACTTACAAAACTTTTTGAAAATCCCTTACCAAACCTACATGTATCTTGTAGATAATTTTGACATAAACATCGAGAGGATTTTAATTTCCCTATCCCTTAAATTTTAATTTCGATGTAACATTTTTTGTTAAACGATGCACAAATTATTAAAGCAGAGTAATTAGGTTTAAACACAATAAAAAGAAGTTCTATACAAGTAATGAGAGGAAGTATTAATAAGGAGAATGATATAAAGAAAAAAGGTAGATTACGCATGATTACCCAATCGAAATTTATTGAAATTTAGTGACCGAAAATTCACGTTAGAATGAAAAGTAATTAGTTATTAATTACAAGGGTAGGTAAGTATGTGGATGCTAATTTATTTATTTAACGTTCGGACATTTTCCCAGTTGAACCAAAATCGAGAAATGAAAGGGGAGATTAACGTTTAGCGATCCTTGAAATTAAAAATTATGTTTATGTGAATTTTTGTCATAAATATTTTATTCAAAAGTGAAAGGGTCGTACAGCAAGCTAACATTCTTGAAATAAATGCGCTGTCCAACAGTAATTACAAAACTTTGTAGTGTTTATAATAAATAGGAACTGTACATGCATGTTGAAAAAGTGTATATAAATACAAGTTTTATTTCACGAGAATGCATGTTAAAAAGTACAAATTTAATATCATTATGCACATACATGTAATTTGGCATTAAAGATTATACCTATATAGATGCAGTTTTAGCTAAAATGCTTACACTTGCTGAAACTTTTAATGGAACTTTTATTTATCTTGTGAACAACATTAAGTAATTTAATGAAAATTTGTACAGGTTTAATTATAATCGGTACCTCAAACAGAGCATGTGCATCCCTCTTAGCAGCTCATTTCTGTGTGTGTGTACTTGGGACCACAAGAAATTTAAGTTTTTATCGTAAAAAAAAAAAAATGGAAGAAATTTTCCACCCACTATTAAAAAATACTAGGGTGGCAACGCTTTGTGGGGGGGGGGGGGGGCACCTAGAAAAGTAGAGGAAGTCAATACTAGTATTTAAAGTCTACATAAGCATTTTAAAATAAAATAAATGATTCTACTGCGAAAATTTATTAATTCATTTCAATATAACAGTCGGTTTAGAGCGCTCGCTCCGTGATCGGAAGGTCGTGTGTTCGAATCATGGCCGCGACTGAACTAAGTCGATAAAAAATAGGTAGCAACTGTTCCTTCACCAAGCGCTCGGTAGTTTTAAGTGAAAGTTAGGGTCTTTCATGTCCCAAGATCATAAATTGAGAACAGACTTAGGTCAAAATTTCAATTCGATATAACTTTCGAAATAATTTTGATAATAAAATAAAATTTTCATCATATGTTTGAATTGAAGTTTTTCGTACATTTGCAATTTTTTAAGCTTATACATTGCATGAAATTTACGATATCAAAAATTAAAATTTTGACTTAAGCCTGGTCTCAGTTTATGGTCTTGGGGCTATATGAGACCTTAAAAACCGAGGCCCGTGTCACAACAGACGTTGGCACGATAAAGATCCCTCATTGCTCGATGGTCCTGAGTGCCCATTAACGATCTAAATTTGAAGCTCTTCACCGGTATATGGTAACGTCTCTTTATGAGTTAAAAAAAAGTTCATGAGGTCAGAAAACAACATACAATTTATCAATCAATTTCAAAATATTATTACAAGAACGGTCAAAACATATCAATTCTTTTTCTTCTCAAATTGTCACATATGTAATTTGTTACAATGACCGGAAATAATATTCATTAAGTAGTTCACTTCCGATTAAGTGATGGAGCTAAGGAGCTGTCAAGGTGGGAAAAAAAGGCCAGACACAGCCCGTAGTCGTCAAGCAGATTGAGTTGTTTTTTGTTTTTTTTTACTGGAATAAATAGCTCAAACACTCCGGTTGCTGCAGTAGTCGCAAAACTTCCCGAGCAAAACCCAGACATTATTTTAAGGTGGATCACCATGTGTAGGCCTCAGAATGAAAAGCTCGGAAGTCTCTGGTTTTATCGTACACTACAACCCTAACCGGCAAGTGTAAAGTCGATCTTAAATTAAAATGTGTTGAGACAATTTTCGAGGAATAAATGAATGGTTTACAATAAGGAGGCTCGACGAAGGATACATTTATTAGCGATTTATTATAAAAGATAAAAGTCATTCGAAGGGAACTATGTCTTGATAGAGTAGGCTAATCAGTAAAATACGATTTTTAAGGGGGTGTACATGTACCTTATGAAAGTGAAAGCGGGGGTGCCCTGTATACGAAAGAAGTGCCGTGTGGGTCACCCAAAAACGCGTTGCCATCCTGGTGTCCTTTTAGTAGAGGGTAGAATATTTTTTTCCGTTTCTTTTTTTCCACGATAAAAAATTCAGACCTCTGTGCTTGGGACAAAGTAAATCAAAGTACTGAAAGTACTGAAAGCCGGGCTTTAATATGTTCGAGTGTATTGTCTAATCCTAAATTAGTACATATTTGAAAATCTTTCTTTCTGACCATTGATATTTAACAGGTAGAGTATGTATGATTATGATTAACAATAACCCATCTACCAATAATTTACGGTCCAGAACCCAACGTTAAGACCCCAGGATAGGACTTGGTGATATTTTTCATGAAAATACATTTATACCTTTCTAAACATTAAGCTCACAGTGGTTATGCATGGTAACAGTGCACTTTGAGTGGTTTTGCTGATTCATACAGGCACATATAAACTATCGGAGGAGCTAGGGGTGTCACCATTTTTCAAACATAAACTTTTTACATTGAAAGGTTGATTGACTCTTCGCAATCAAATTTAAATTGGAACTTTCATCTCACTCTTCGTAATATAAACCAGGTATTTATCACGAGCGACGAACAGATTTACTAAAAGCAAAATGGATATAGTCTAATTTTAATTAGATTGTACCATCATTTTATTGTAGCATATTAAAAGTACGGTAATTTGGTAATGAATTAATGAAATTCGAAATGTGAAAGTAAGTTGTAGCCCACCCCTACTCCTTCTCCAACGGAATAGGATTTTCGGGTTTGGACAATTCTCCTTTTTTCTGATAATGATACTACATGCCTGTATTAATCAGAAAAGAAATATTCTTTATTTTTGGTCCTCTAGGAAACC